TAGATCGGGTTTTATCCCAAATGGGTTTTTTCTGCAAGGTTTTTAACGAGGCAACAACTATGTGCTACCTAGGGAGAATTCAACAGTATCTAAGGCTTCTTTTCAATCAACCTCGAATATTGGGGGGCATCACCCTCGGAGGTTATATTTTCGAGAAAAATACTTCACGCCAAAGAGGGGCTCGATAGGAAAACCTTGTAATGGGCCAAACGGTCAGATGAACCGTGTCCATATAGAATAGTCGAGACCCGATGGCAAAACATGTACGAATGTATGAATTATTTAAAGAAGCATTCTTTCTATATCAAACACTTTGTGTCCCAAAGAAATTTGCTACTATACGAGCTCCATACTTATGATTCTGCGAGAAATGGCTCAAGGGCCAAAATGCAAATACACCTCGAATTTATAAGACCTCAAAGAGGCATCCCTCGACGCAAAGGCCAAGGCCATCATACTCGGTGACTAACATTTCAGACAAGTTCGAAATATTATTGGGAAATAAGTCCAAGAGAAACACCCGAAGGCTACGACCATATTAAAGGCTACGACCGAAATAGCGCGTCTCGGAGACATCCGAATTCCGCAATAAAAACAGGCCTTCGAATTCTCAGAAAACCGGTTTAATAAAGGCTACCCTCGGCAATATAATCAAAGGGCTTCGATAAAATCAGCCCTGGAAAAACCTCAAGAGGTATCGAATTATTCACATACAAACATGTGCTAAGGCACTAAAAATAAAAGGGTTCCGATCGACACTAAACCCTCGAAAAACCCAATAGGTAAAAGACGCATGCCAAAGCATAAACATAAAGAAATTTTACCAAGTCTTTTAAGCCGAAAAGGGAAAATAATAGCCATCTCCTAAAGGCCATATCGGCCCAATCTAAAAGAACCTAAGGGCCAAAACATTCAGAGTTCGAGACCTTTGTTCTCACTCAACTCGAACCTAAGGGTCCCACCATCCCGAGCTCGCACAAAGTCGGCTTAAGCATAGCTCGAGGATTCATCAAAAAACCTTAAGAGGTATTCTATCATGAGATAGACCATCGATTACTAAAAACAAAAAAACCTAAGGGTTTATTTTACTCCGAGTCTGAGCCGATGTTCACTCAATTATTGAAGTTATGACATCAAAAACTAATTCTTCACAAAACAAAAATGAAGCAAACTTCACAGCAAATCGGAGTCGAAGCGGAAAGGAAAGGAATTCTTTATATACATGAAGAATATTTACAATGCCCACATGGAGCCTTACACAAAATAAAAAGGAAAAAAAAATCCTAAAGGCCTAATCTACTTTAGGAGCTGCATCTTCGGGAACCACACCTTCAAGAACCTCCTCCTCGAGGGCTTCATCCTCGTCTCCTCCGCTCTCGGAACCACTAGCAGAGTCATCGTCATCGGAGAGTAGAGCGACAGCCTCGTCCTCCATAGCTTTTGCCTTTTCAATATCAGATGAGAGGTCAAAGCCACGAACATGCACTTCCTCGAGAGTCTCTCTCCGGGATTGTCGCCTAGTGTGGTCGACAGCGCATGACAATTTGACTTCAGCAGCAGTAGACATCTCTGCGCCCGAATGTTGGCAGCCTCGGCGTCAACTCGATAAGAGGCCACAAATGCCTCCGACTCAGATTTAGCCTTTGTAAGTTCGGCGGACGACTTAGCTTCGAGCTCCTCAATCTTTCGGCTCCGGGCCAAGCTTTCCACCTTCATGTCGTGAAGTTGACATTCGGCCAAAGTCAGCTGGGCCCGAAGCGTGTCCTTCTCTGAAGCAAGACGATCCATATGCTGCTTCCACCCCAGGGTCTCGGCCTTTTTTCACCTTGAGCTCTTCTCGAAGCTGCTCCACCAGCTTGCCCTTCTGCTGGGCCTGCAAAGTCTAAGTGTTAGTCTCTAAGTCAGATAAACACATAGCAAACTCCCAAAAAGCTACATTACCTACTCAATAAGCTCGGTCTGTTCTCGATGAGCCTTCGTCAAGTCGGCTCTAAGGCCCCTAATCTCCTCCTCTTTTTGAACATAGAGGAGTTTGAGGTTGTCCCTCTCTTCCACGAGCTTCTTGATTTCAGCCTCGCATCAGGTGAGCTCGACTCGAGACTTGGAGAACGCTTGTCGATGGAGCATTATAGCCTTCACGCAAAGAAAAGAAATCAGAAATCAGACTCAAAAAAATGATAATAAATCACGAGCATAATTATGGAAGCAGAAACTTACTTTCTTGAGAAGACGCTGAGCCTCGTCAAAAATGATTGAGGCATCCGGGTCGGGAGCATCTTCGACCCCTACAAAGCACTCCCGAAAAATATCATTCCCTTCGTGGGTCGTCCCCACGTCGGGAGTCTTTATGGACTGGGCATCTCGGAATCGCCCTTCAGAGAACACAGGGCCAGGCGGCGATTTATCTACGTTAATTATCCCAAGTGATTCACTTGGGAAATTATCTTCTCTTTGAAGGGCCTCGAAATTAGGCCCCTTGGGCTCACCCGCCAAATGTCCTCCAAGACGAGGTGCTCTTTTGCCGCCCGATGGCTCGGGGACTCTGCTCGAGCTTCCCTCCGAGATTTCTTCGGTTCGAGATTGAACTGCATCAGCCACCACCGGTTCAGCGGCCTTCGAAGCTTCGGTGCTCCCCCTCTTCCGAGCTACCAGCAAACAGTCGTCATCCTCTCCCTCTTCCTCATCATCCCGAAGGTGTTAAACCGCTTCTGCAAATAGGGCTACAGGATTGGCCCTAGGCTTTCGATCTTTATTTTTCTTGGGCTTCGGGGAACTTGCTGGCAAAGCCCTTTTCCTTTTCTTCTCCTTGGTTGGCTTCGGTGGTTCCTCTTCACCGGGCGGGGGCGGCCTCATAGCAAAGTGTCTCTTAGGCCTGCGTAAGGGGAAAATAAGTATTTTATAGAGAAATGCCAATATATAAACAAGGGAGCTCACCATGGATTTTAGCTTCCCGCCGACCCTTGGCCCAATCACGCCAACAACGTTCTGCCTGTGAAGAAGTGGAAGCCAGTTGTCGAACCCAACTTGCGAGGTCCGAAATCGCACCAGGAAACCAAGGGGCAGCTGCATCATCGAAAGGGAATTAGATCGAGGAAGAATAGGGAAAGCAGAGCAGTAATCCTCGTCCATAAGTTTGTACTTACGTTTCATGTTCTATTCCTCGGAGAATGGCATCCTTTCAGCAGGAATTAAATCGGAAGTCTTGATTCGGACAAACCGGCTCATCCATCCTCGGTCCTTGTCCTCATTGATGCTAGAGAATAGCGTCTTCGAGGATCGACGCTGGAGCTTTATGAGACCGCCTCGATAAAGGCAAGGGCTGTATATCCTGATCAGGTGGTCGAGGGTAAAAGGCATCCCCTCGACCTTGCCCGAGAAATACCTGATCAAATTAATGATGCGCGAGAAAGAAGGGTAGATCTGGCCAAGCGTCACCTGATATTGGTGACAGAAATCGAGGATGACTGGATCTACGGGACCCAATTCTAGATCTGCGGGACCCAGTGTGAAAGGATAAGTATACACACTTAAGTACCCTTCCACATGAGTGGTGATGTCCTCTTCGGGTGAAGGAATCACGGCATCCTTATCCTCCTAATTACAATCCTTTTTAACCTGCTCAAGTTCATCTTCAGTTATCAAGCAGATGTATCAAGACATGGGATCACATCGGCCTGGAACCGATGCATGCTTATCGATTTTGAAATCAGAAGATAGCTCGCATGGCCTGGGAATGCACTCCTCGATACGAGGTGGCACCGTCGTTCTACCACCGGCCGACCGCGATGATGAGGAGGCTTTTTCTTTCTGAGGAACGATTTTAGATGTTTTGGCCATTGCTGTTGGGAAACTCAGAAGAAGAGAAGAAGTTTATGTTGTTAAAGAAAGAATGGACTCAGAGAAGATGAAAAAGCTAGTAAGGTTTTGGGAGAAGTTTGAGAAATAAAGATTGAAAAAGTTGTGAAAGTTACCTATTTATAGTGGCCACTTCAACGGTTTGGGGAAGCCAATGGCGGACCATCAGCCGCCTTCAATTAATGGCCTCGGGATCGATGCAGACGCAACCTTTCAATCACTTCTGTTGCTGATGTCACGAGATTAACATCATGATCGAGGTATCAGAGGACCGAAGATCAAATCGTTTCTTATCATCTTACTCTAAGAAACGCGGGGACTATCTGTATACGGTCAAAATTAGGTATGCCGATATCGTGGGCTCGAGGGTCATTTCGAGGACAAGATCGACATAGACCAGGCGCGAGCTTGATGGCAGAGTGCAAGCTTCGAAGATCGAAATGCTCGATGAACACCGAGGCCAAGTGTGACCGACCTCGAGATAATACCGTTATGGTTTTATAACAGAAAGAGCGAGATTCCCGCGGTGGCCCAAAGATCACGGCGTAAATTCCGAAACGAATTTGTACTAGGCGGTTAGACAGCTGTATAATAAGATTCCCTGCTACAATTAGAATTGTACCTTATTTAGGATTCCCCCTACTATATAAAGGGGACTCCATTCATTTGGAACAGATCATCAATCATTGGCAAAAGAATATACACTCTTACTTTCTTGCTTATTACTCACCAGAATTGTCTCTTAACTTTATTGTCCTTACTTTACTGTTCTTACTGACCGACCTCGAGGCCATCATAACTCGAGGTCAAGACTTGCTTAAGCACTGGTTTGATTCAACTTACTTCTTTAATTTATACGTTTGATTTCTTGGTTATTAGTTAGTATTGGACTAAATCATATATCTTCAAGATCACAAAACAAGTTTAATTATTACTCGAATTTTAGGGTAAACGCACCGAAATATAGTGTGATGATAGAAATTCCTTCACTTTTAATAAGAGATTTTTTGTTTGTGACCGAGAATAAAAAAGGTTCTTAAAAGAAAGCGTTTTACCTTTTAATAAATTTACTCAACATAAATTTAAATTGGTCGGGACGATACATTGGAATACCGAAAAGTTAAAAGGTCATTCTATTTCTTGCATTTTCTAATTATCCTATATTGACCTCAGGGTTTCCACTTATTTACCACAAAAAAAAAACTAAAAAGAAAATATCCATCACCTCTTTCTATGATTTGCTACTCTTCTTTCATGAAAAAACAGTAGCTAAGAGATCTAAAAGCTTCTTCTCTGAAAAGTAAAAAAGAAAAAATCTTAACAGACTATTCTTTCTTGCTTGTTGTTGAAGATTTCTATCTCCATACTGCTTAACAAACAAGCTGATATTCAGACAAAGATTATAACTTTTCTGTAGAAGAAATGTATGGTACTAACTCCCTAGTGTTTATCTTCTAATTCTAGTTCTATATATTCTGCAAACTCCACACATAAAGAAGTGTTATTTGCAAAAAAAAAAAAAAAAAAACAGAGAGCTATTAATGGATTCAGAGTTTGATAAAAACCAGAACATGAATTCTGGTTTGTTAAGGTTTCGTTCAGCTCCAAGTTCTTTGTTTGAGAATTTCACAGATGGAGTAATAAAGATTGAAAATTTTGGCAGTGAGAATAAAGGGTTCGATCTTGCTGGTTTAAATAACCAATTGGTGTCTCAGAATTCACAGTTGCCACCTCAATATCCAAGGCAAAATACTAGTGCTAATGTGGGGTCAATGGATGGTGGTGGGTACAGGGTGATGGGCTCATTGGGAAATAATCATGAGAGGCAAAACAAGTTGGCATCAAATCTTATGAGGCAAAATAGTTCTCCAGCTGGCTTATTCTCTCACCTCAATTCTCAAATTGGTATCTACTGTTTCATATTCTTGTTGTTCATGCATTCATTCTTCATCTTTCTTCTTTAGGAAAGTACTCTAGATTTGTGGGCAATATTTTATTTTTTTGAAAGTAGGTAAAGGGGTGCATTTAATAATAGTTCTAAGTTTATATACAAGTGAACAAGTGAGGATTCGTATAGCCAGCCGACCCCAACTTGTTTGGGATTGAGGCGTAATTGTTGTACAACATGTTATATATATTTTCAATTTATGTTTTTAACAAAGTATTGATGGATTTAGAGTTTCTAGCAGTTGCTAAAAGATTAAGCAGATGAAACTATGTCAGAAGACTATATTTATGTTGATGTCTCTGGTTTGCCCTGATTTAGTTTCTGTTCCAAATTGGAGTAGATGATAGCAGGATGTAGAGTCGTGGGTAAGTTTAAATCAAGGGGAAACCAGGATGTGGAGTCGTGGGTTCAATGAGTGTGATCATATTATATGTACACATTTTAAATTTTTTTTGTCAATATATACATAGATCGAGCTGTGTGACCAGGAGATCACGGGTTCGAGCCGTGGAAACAGCCTATTGCAGAAATGTAAGGTAAGTCTGCGTACAATAGACCCTTGCGGTCCGGCCCTTCCCCGGAACCGCGCATAGCGGGAGCTTAGTGCACTGGGCTGCCCTTTTTTATATATACATAGATCGAGCTAAAACAGTATGTTCAGTTGAATCCACAGAGCCTGTCCTACATCCACCTCTAGTATGAAATGGGAGTTTCAGGTGCTTTTCGCCACCTTCTTTCCCTAATTGTGTTGGCTTCTGCATTCTTGACACTCTTGTAGTGTTCACTAATAAGAAGTTTCAGTTGTTAGCTACTTAATGTTTAATGGCAATTTCACAGGCTATGGCACGTTGAAAGGCGGTGGTGGTGGAGGTTACAGAATGGCAAATGGTGGCACTGTAGATTCAAGTCCATCTTCAAGCAGGTTGAAAGGTCATTTTAGTAGTTTACCATCAGGGGCACCTTCATCATTAGGAATGTTGTCTCGAATCTTAGAGGTCGATAACGAGAGCAGCATAACAACTGTCCCTGATGACGACAAGTGTAGAGATGGCAACTCAGAAGCTCAATTCTGCAATATGGGATTCCCTTTTACCTCTTGGAATGATTCCCCTCAACTAGATAATGAAGGGAAGCTATTTGCTAATGCTGATCAGGTATGAAAATAGAATGTGGGGTATAATTTGAAATCATTTGTTATGTTATGTGGAATTTGAAATGGCAATCTTGGTTGTAACCAGATTGAAGAAGTTGGAAATAGGCCTCCAATTTTGTCACACCACCTAAGTTTACCAAAGACACCAGCTGAAATTGCAGCTATTGAGAAGTTATTGCATTTCCAAGACACTATTCCCTGTAAGATCCGCGCCAAACGCGGCTGTGCTACTCATCCTAGGAGCATTGCAGAAAGGGTAGGACATAAACAACATACATAGTTGTACATATATGTTTATGCCCTATCTAATTCTTATGTTCATTGTTGTCAAAATCTCTGAAATTTCCCAACAAGTCAGTCTATGTTTAAAGTTCAATTTTGAATGAAGAAGTATTTTGGTGGAGATAAAAATATATATAATGGTATTTCAGGTGAGAAGAACCCGAATAAGTGAAAGAATGAGGAAGCTACAGGAGCTTGTTCCCAACATGGACAAGGTAGATTTTCCATACCTATTTTCAGCAATTTTTCTTTTGTTGTTTTGGTGGAGTCTTATTTATGTATAATTCATGTTGGCAGCAAACAAACACAGCAGACATGTTAGATTTGGCTGTTGAGTACATTAAAGACCTCCAAAAACAGTACAAGGTACAATTTGGAAGCATAAATCCAAAATCTGGCTTAATCAATTCTATCCCTTGAAACTTCTCACACATTTATGTCATGTTTTTCAGACACTCACTGATCATCGGGCGAACTGCAAATGCTCAGCAATGCAGAAGCCATTGTAAAACCAAAGGGTCTGATTTGCTTATGCACAATGGAGAAGAGTAGAAGAGGAGTATACATGAATGGAGTTTCTTTTCAAAAGGGTATAGGTTAGGAAGTTCAGGAAAAGAACAAGAAATAACACATAAAAGGGCAGCCTGGTGCACTAAGCTCCGGCTATGCGCGGGGTCTGGGGAAGGGCCGGACCACAAGGATCTTCGGCTGTCGTTTTTGCAGATGGTAGATGCTATAAACTAACAATGTTTCAAAGTTCAAACAACATAATTAGTGGAAAAGTGTACATTGGTTGCATAGGACATGCAAGAATAAGATTATGTGTTCCTTGGTATATGCATTCCCTTTTCGCTTCGAGTTTAAGTAATGCACACCGACAATATAAAGAACTTTTACATTATTAGCAATTCAACACGTAATAGCAGGTTATTACTCTACTTTTCATGTTATCATATCAACATTGATAGTAAATATGTTGTTATAGATCTACTTAACATAACAGTGCAAAAAATTTTAAACTGTCACTATACATAGCACATACTCCCTCCGTTCCAATTTATGTGAACATGTTTGACTGAGCACAGAGTTAAAAAAATTAATAAAGACTTTTGGAATTTGTGGTCCTAAACAAGTCAAAAAGGGCCCCAAAGTATTTGTGTGATTATAAAAGCTTCTCATTAAGGGTAGAATTGTAAATTTAAGCTAAGTTGTTACTAAATTTAGAAATGGTTTATTCTTTTTAGAACGGACAAAAAGGAAATATGTTCACAAAAACTGAAACAGAGGGAGTACTACTTTTCTTTTGCTTAATAAAGAAGTGTGGATTAGGATAAAAGTCAATGCTTCTTTTTTCCCACTTGATCTCATACATGAGCTGTTAGATCCATTATACTTTCCATTTATAGACCAACCAAGATGTGGATGGCTGAGGTTGTTATTGGTGGAAGTCAAACGTATCTATATATTAAAAGCCTATATGACTTAAATCTTTAACTGCCTAGAGGAACCTTATCTGATTCCTATTCTATTATTTGAAGGAACACAAAATTTCAAGAAGCATCTCTGCTTACTGCTATGCCTTTTTATTGTCCAATTAGAAAAAAAGGGTTGATATTATTTCATTGCATTGAATTGGTTAGTTGGGATTGCCTTGGGAATGCTTATACCCATATCAGTGACAGTACTGAGGTGGAAATGTGACAACAAAAGTGCAAAGATACAGGACAGCCCATGACAACCCCACAGCACTGACTAGTGTGTGAGGTGCTGTAATGAATGACGACACGTGAATGTATTCTAACAATTACAGCACTTAGATACTAGGAAGCGGGTCGGGTCGGATATGGTTCGGAACGAAAACGGGTAATAAAAATAATAATAAATTATCCGACCCGATCCATATTTAATACGATAAAAAATAGATTAACCGGCGGATAATATGGGTAATCATATTATCCATGACTTCTTGAATATGATTACTTCTGGAAGAATTCCTAGTCTCCCAAACTTGATGAACCCCAATTTGAGGCTTTACAAATGTAAAAGTTAAACCCATTAGTTATGGTTATCCATCTTCTAAATGGATAATATCATTCTTATCCATATTTGAACCATTTTTAAAAAGTTCATTATCCACTCCGTTTTTTAGTGGATAATACGGGTGGTTAATTGCTTTCTTTAAATCATTCTGCCACCACTACTTGAGAGGAAAGAAAGCAAGAATTCAAACTTTTGACGTCAAGTAAATCTTGAGCCACCTTTAGCGTTGCACTAAGCTTCCTTTATACCCTATTTGTACAATATAGTTTTCGGCAAAGGAAATTCAAGTGGACCTCATTCGGACCATGTAGTGCTGCTTGCCTAAGAGAATTAATATGACCTGATGAAACTTAGGAATAAGGCATGGAAAAACTTAATTAACGACTAAATATGTATTTTTTTTTAAATAATTATGGTGTCTGGGTCAGGTTGCGTGCACCCCGATTAATTTTACAGGATACCTGCTATTTTCTACCATAAACAATTATCAAGTAACTTTATCCATCAAAGCTTAGATAGATGGAAAGAAATTACCTAATATTTTTGTCACCACTCGAACAACGACTATGTGTCTTATACAGAACAAATTGATATTAGCTCTAGCTCCTTTTCATATACAAGTTGGGATCCATATATAGGGTTTTAATTAAAAAGCATAAACAAGAAGTTGTACTGGGAGAGGATAAAGAATTATGTGGGCAAAAAAGAAAAGCAGATTTGCTAGAGCAGCAAACTATAGCAGAGTAGAACTAGGCCTTCTATTGGATCCTTCCTGTGTGAAAGCACGTAGGAAAATGACATTGTCAAAAATTGATAAGATAAAATTTTCATTTATTTATCAAAAGAAACGTCCCTTTTGAAGTCGGGATTTATTTTCCTTGAGAGTAAGAAGACTTTGTCTCGCCCATGCCCAGGAAAAAAAGATCAGATCAGCAATGACTTTCGAGTAAAGGATTTTTTTGCTTATCATTATTCCCTCGAAGTAGGATTAAACTAAGTCAGTATTCTGGGTTGTTCATGTGGATAATACATCCACATTCAAAGAGTGAAGTCATTTACATTCTTTTTTCCCTTTTTCTTAGGGGTTTGGGAAGGGGACATGGATGACATTTTTAATGTTCTCTCTCCGACCCCCCCCCCCCCCCCCCCC